ACGAGGAGGAGGAGGGTGGTGTGAGGCATTGTCCTGCGTCTCCCCCTTCCCGCGATGACACGTGCCCCTCAGCTCAACGCTAGAGCACGGCTGCGCACAGGGGCGAGGGTGGGAAGGGAGGACAGGACCAGGTGCAGCCAGCCCTGCCCAAATCTTCTGCGAACGCGACGCGACAGCACCCGCCACTGCGCGGGCAACTCCTCGTAAGCTTCGGCGCCTCCCGTGGAGAAGGAGACCGTGGCTCTCACTGATGCACGGCCCCGCCGATGCCGAGACAGATCTCGCAGCTAATGCAAGCCAGCGTAAACTACGTATGTGATTTCACCCGCGGGACACGGCGTGGCACTCCGTGCCCTCAAAAACTCACTGCCCGCTTGCCAGACAGAGCGGCCCCCGCGACGCGCTCCCTGAGACGTGGAAAGCCTCGCGGCCACTCCGCGTGCTGCTCGCCAACGAGTGCCACGCACATGCGGCCATTGGAGGCGGCCGGGGGGAGTCCGAACTGGCTGGGGCTTTAGAAAACCGGCCAGGAGGAGGGGGGATGAAACTGAGTCCGCCAAAAAAAAACTCCCCGGACCCCTCCCGGGGATCTGGAGCCGCTTCTGACGGTCCCAGGGCCCCATGTGAGCAGAAGCATTGTTCTCAGACGAAGCACACACATGTTCTCATAACATAATGATGAGTGTCCTTAGAACAGAAGCCCGACGTGTTGAAACGCGACGGTCTCGGCCAGAGATGTCCTCAGAACTTCTCGCGCAGACCACAAAAGGCTCTTAGAACACCCTGTGGTGGGCCTAAATAGGCGAGCCAGGACGCCCCGCCACTGCTTGAGCACTCACAGCTGCGTGTGGTTGGGCCTTCCGCCAGGGTATGACCGCGGCCACGCCCGGCTCCCCCGGGGGAGGCCAGGGGCGCCGGCCCAAGAGAGGGCCCCACGCGGGGCTCTGCCGACCCGGGTCCATCCAGACGTATGTCGGGCCTGTCCCCCTACAGGGGCAGGGGGCTTCTCGACGAAAAATCAAAAATACCCCCCCCCCCAAAAAAATAGTCGAAACATAATCCAAAAATAATCTGGGGACGTTTTTTTAGCATTTGTGCTGCCTTTTGGGGGGATGTTTGAAGCATTTGTTATGTTTCGTGGAAAATCCCCCTGTAGGGACAGGCCCGACTGAAATCCAGACCCGGGCCAGCAGGAAGCCCCAAAAAACTGCCATGCGAGACAGAACAACAGACTGCCGCGCGGGGCCTCGCAGGCCCGGGGCCGCCCACCTGCGCGCCGCCTCGCGGCCGCGAGCGGCTCGCTGGCCCAGGTCAGCCAGAGGGGGCCTTCGCAGGATCCTGCAAGATCCCGTGCCCTGGCTGACCCCCGTTGGCATTGGCCCCCGTCTCAAGGCTTCGGGGATGGACAGGCCTCCCTTTAGCACAATCGTGGTTTCGTGACAACGACCTGAGGCCCAAACCTGGCGGGCGCAAGCCGGGAAAATAACGGCGGCGGCGCCCCCTCGAGAACCGAAAACGGGCAATTCGCTAATCGACGTGTCACTGCTCCTCCTCCTCCGGAGGAGGAGGAGGAGGAGGAGGAGCAGCAGGAGGAGGAGGAGGAGGAGGAGCAGGAGGAGGAGGAGGAGGAGGAGGGGGTCCTGTCCACCCCCGACAGATCTCCCGACCCCGCGCGGGCCTCCGAGAGATCCGGCGCGCTCGGCGCAGAGCCCTGCGGCTCGTGCCGTGGGATCCTGTTCCCCCCCGGGGGCCCCAGACTGACTACCTACCCGAAGACCCGAATTTCGGGTTGGGAGGGGTAAGGGTTCCACGCATGTATTTTCGATGCTTCCCGACCCCCCCCCCCCACTAGAAATCGAGGGTAAATCTGAGCCTTTGGGTTGGGTTGGGGTGGTTTGGTGGGTGGTGACAGACATCATCGCGTCGGAAGAAACCACGACGGGAGGCTTTTGGCCAATTTCGACCCCCCTCACGTCGCGAAAACGTCACGATCACGGGAGGCCTTCCCTATTTTCGGCCTCCGGGGGCCCTCGCCACGCCCCAGGGACCGTCAAAAAACGACTCTGGATGAAAAACCAGCCCCGGGGAAAGGGTCGGGACTTCCATGACGCGAGGTCTGTCGCCATTTGCGGCTTCCGGGGGCCCTCTCCAGGCCTCAGGACCGTAAACAAACGACGCAGGATGGGGGCTCTCCGGATCGGGGTCAATCCAAACCCGGGCCAGTCCAGCTGTGCAAAATCCCGCAAGATCCTGCAAGATCCTGCAGGATGCTGCGCCCCAGCCTGGCTCGGTGCAGCCCAGACTCTGCAGGATCCTGCCCCAGACATGCGACGTCTTGATTTTTTCAGGACGGCGTCCCTGGAAATCCCGACACTTTCCCCGGGAACGGATTTTCGTCCTGAATCGTTTCTTGACAGTCCCGAGGCCCGGCGAGGGCCCCCCAGTGCCGAAAATACCAAAAAACCTCCCATCCTGATCATGTCTGGGGCAAGATCCAGCTCTCTTGCTCACCCCCGTTCGCACGGACCCCCGTCCCTTGAGCTCCCACCTGGGAAAGGGTCGGAGCTCCCGGAAGGCGCGTCTTCGAGGATTGAGGGCCGAGGCTCGTGGATCGAAGAGGAGGAGGAGG